CCGTTTTGCACGTATCTCAGACCTTTTCCACACCGGACAACAGGGCGAACACGTTCCAACCTACCCGCAGATTATCTCTACCCAGCTGCTTCTCAGCTCGTCGAAACCGCTGGCCGGTTGGCTGGAAAAGGCAACGCGTCTCGTTTAGAAAGTTAAGCCGAGCAGAGCAAATGGGAATGTGATGGCACATCCAGCGGCAGCTGCTGCGGCCTTTCCCTGCTCAGATGAATCCGAGGGCAACTCTAATGGCAGAGAATGGGTCTCATTTTAGCAGCAGCCCCGTGCTTCGCCAAGGGCCGTTCACAAAAACGGGGTATCACTTCTGTCTTCCCCTCCTCTTTGCAGGAAAGAAACATTCCTACAGGTCTTTAGTCAGACACTCTGGTCCCAACTCCCAGAATCGGGCACCTGCCTCTCCACTGCAGGAAGCTGCTGATCACACAACGGGGAGGGGGCTTGGCACCCCCTTTCTGCGCAGTGCAAGATAACGCAGCAAGATAAATATTCCATGCTCAGTATGGCTGGGTGGAACAGACACGTTTCTTCCAGCTTTCCACCAACGTTCAGCTGCTGTGGAGCAGGGGCCGTGGGGGTCCTCATTTCACCCCGATGGCATTTCCTAGTGCCCGTCACAGCGGTCTCCCTGCTCCCAGCCGCTTCATTCTTTCCACCAATACGCCGTTTCAATATAATGAAGCACCAAGGCTGTTTACTGCCCGGCATTCACGGAGGCAGGGAACTCTTCTTACTTCCTACGTTCGCAGGACTGCCGTTCTCCCCTGAATCCAGAGATTCCTGTGATTTTGCACTGCTAAAAGCCGCTCGAAGAGGGGAGATGTCACCGCAGAGCTGGGCCCTGGTCTCACCTCGGCCCGAACATGCAGTTCCATCCCCACCAACTCTTCCCCCCCATTTCCGCCCGCCCCACATTCCTGCCCAGAAGGCCTTTCTGTTGTGCTCTACATTGACCCATGTGCAGCCTGGGTGGTCTCAGTCCCTCGCAGAGGGAAGCAAACCAAAGCCACTGATTCATTTCCGTATGGGTTTTCCGCCGTGCCAACAGACCGGTCCTCAAGCCCTACCAGCCAGGCAGCACACGGGAGTTCCAAGCAGAGAAACAGGCTGGCGCTAGCAGCTTGGGCTTCTTGGCCACGGAGGGCAGGTTCCCCGTGGCTCGGCAGTTCCTCCAGGCAGGCTGTGTGGAAAGTGGAAACATTCCCTCTGAGCTAGCCCGGAGACTCGCCACACCAACTTGTCCTTTTCGAAACCAGGGCTCTCCCTCAGCTTGTGGGGCAGTGGGGAGAGGAGGAGGAGGAAGGTGTCCCCCTATCTTTCTTCCTCACCAATTCTGAAGGAAGCTTGTTCTCCTCAAACAGCAGGCATGTATCTGGGACACTCGCTGCTCCATACATGCTCCCCAACCAAATCAACAGCCTCTGCCCTGTTATTCTGGATCATCTTTATGCTTTCTCACCGATTCTCCATATAATCTCCCAGCACCAAATGCAGGCTCTCCCTCCGTGTCCACACTAGCTGTATGGGTTTGACGCCAATAAGAATCCGATAGCATCGCCCACATATAGGACCAAATGCTAGAGGAATTTGACGTACACAATCACAGTATTGCATGAGTTAGAGGGGTGTGTTTACCCCACCGAGGATGGTACAGCAACTGACAGGCCAAAGGGGCTTCCCTTCGCACAAGAGGCAACGGGAACGTGATGCGCCACGGAGACAAGCCCTTGCGGACACGCCTGGCGCAGCCTCGCTCATCCTCACGCTGAGACAGAAAACTATTCTCAGTGGCCAACGAGTTGCAAGGGAGAGAACGAACAATTTCCCGCCTGGTGGCCAAGCGAGCCATCTGCACAGAGCAGCCTTCCTCCTGGCAGCTTATCAGAGGAGAACACAAGAAACCCAGCTCCCTACCTGTCACGATAATCCCTTTTGATTTATTCTGCTGCATGGAGCCCAGCGAAGAAGCAAGAAATGAGTCCAGTCAGAGGAAGTTTGCCATCTAGTGGTCAACAGCTTGCAATCTCCCTAACGGATCAATGGCCATTAAGCCCGTGTGTGTGAGAGTCCTTCCCTTCGTGCAGCCAACTCACCTTTCCACAGGTGCCCTAAAATAGGCCAGAGGAGATTGACAGAAGGCCGCCGAAATGGCGAGCACGGAGAAATTTGAGTCTTCCAAGGCCCTGTGCCCTGGGATGCGCAAGCCTCTTCCTCTGAGCTCAGGCAGAGCTTAAAACCCTTTTCGATTTCTCTTTCACTCAACCTGTGGCACTGTTGTGAAAAAGGCAAAGTCCATGTGCAGCGTGAATGAGAAAATAAGCTGAAAATAAAGCCCAAAACATGCCCCCTTATTCTAATCTCTGGAACAACCACATTTAGAATAGCGTGCACGGGTGCAGTCAGCTCACCTAAATAAGGATATTGCAATGTTGGGGAAAGCGCGGCGAAGGGGACCTAGAGGGATCAAGGAGCTGAAGCAGCTCTCCTGTGATGAAAGGCTGCAAGAGCTGGGATTGTGTGGTCTAAAAAAAGGCAGGTAAGGGGAGAGATGGCGGAGGTGAGATGCACAGCAAAGTCAGTGGACAGAGGAGGACCACAAAGAAGAATTGCAACCTCGAGCCCCCTGATCTTCTCCTGAGCCACAGAAATGTCATTCGCTTCACGCCAGCTGGCTCACCCTCTCCCGCAGGGGGCAAAAGCCGTCTCAGGCAAAACCGGCCGCACCTACATGCTGTCTAGCTGGGTCTGAGTGCACCTGCTTCAGGCAGCTTCAAACAAGTCCTTCTGAAGGACCCAGAGAGACCGCAAGCCAAGGGCTGCCAACGCTTCTCCTGACATTTTATTTATTTATTTAAAGGTTTTTGTATGCCCTCCCCTTGCTATATAGCCTTGGGACGGCTCACAGAAATAAATAAATATAATACAATAAAACCCAGAAACACCTGGAAACACCCTGGAATCGCTGTAACGAAGTGGCTGAAGAACCATAACGAGAGACAAACCTTTTCTCCCTGCTTCCAGGCAACAAGGTCCCAGTCTTTCACGACTCCCCTGTTTTCTTCCTCTCGTTTTTTCCTTATCCAATTGTACTCAGGGCAGCCCCATAAATAGGGATATGTTTCTAAAGAGCAATTTCCTCTCCTAGAAATGTGCTTAACAGAGCTAGACACTGTTGCATAATCGGAAAGCTCATTAACATTTGCTCCAGGTGTTCCAGCGTTTGATGAAGGGGTTTGGGCTATAGCAAGAATCCTGTGGTTCCATTTCTCTTCCGCTGCAAGATTAGCTCATTTAGCATGAACAGGGTAAGAAAAATAAAAGCTTCCTTTGACCATCACAGGAAACTCAGCACTTGAAACTTCACGACCAAAAAGCACTGGCTCCTGAAACTCCATTTGTTTACTTAAAACATTTTAGATCGCCCCTTACCATGGTCTCGGGGAGGTTTAACAATAAGACAAAATAGAATAAAACACAGTGCCCTAATCCAAATTTTCCAATCAACAATAAAACCCTGTATTAAAGCAATCAAGTCTTAAAATATTGGGAAACATTCTTTTAGCCTGGTGCCAAAAAGAATAAAGTGACGGCACCAGGCAAACCTCTCTGGGGAACAAATTGCACAATCGGGGCGCCACCACCAAAAAGACCCTTCTCCAGGAAGTCGCAGTCCTAATCCCCTTCCAGGAGGGCTCCTGGAGAAGGGCCTCTGCCCCATTTGAACCCGCCCGGTGTGACAAGCCGTTAGCAGAAATCATTCAAGCATGTGCTGGCCAGTCGGAAAGCAGTTCCGAAAGTGTTGGTCTTTCCCTGCCGAGAACGTTCCCCAACACGAAGAAGCGACGGGTCTGTGGGGCTTCCCCCGATGTATCTCCCACACAACGCAAGATCACGTCCTTCCTCACCATGCCAAATGTTAAAAGTTACGGAATGGAAGCCACAAGGCCTAACAGGAAGATTAATAAACGCGGCCACGCACCGCTCTGAACGCTGCTGAGTGATCTTTGGAGGGAGTCCTTCGACGTAAGGACACGGGAGCCCTCGAGTCACGCCGACGGCTAGTCCAGTTCCCTGTTCTACCCCCACAGGGGCCCCATGGGATACCCACAAGGAGGATGTGAAGGCAGCAGCACCTTCTTCCCTTCCTGTTCCCTTCCAGGACCTGGTCTTGTTTGTTTGCTTATATGTTTAGAATTCTTGTATGCCGTGCCATTGCTTATAGCCTTGGGACGGCTCACATAAATAAATAAACATGATACAAATACAATTACAACCCAAAAACACCCTGGCTGCACAATTAAAACCTATAGATATTATTAAGCGTTATTAAAATATTGTTTAAATAAAAAGGTCTTGGCCTGGCACCAAAAAAGAAATAACGACAGCGCCAGGCAGACCTCTCTGGGGAGCACATTCCACAGATGGGGCGCCACCGCAGAGAAGGCCCTGTTCTGGGTACTTTGCCTCCCGATGTCTCTCCCGGAGGGCTCCCGGAGGAGGGCCTCTGCTGCCGATCTCCAGGGGTATTAGGGGCATAATGCCTTGAATCCTACAGGATGGAATAGGTCCAGTTGTCCTGACTGATAGCCATGAATCGCTTCATCCTCTCTGAATTTGTCAGATCCACCTTAGCGGAAGTCAAGTAAAATGTTTTCAGCAAAGACTTGAAAGAGCACTCCACTAGGTTCGACAGATGCTGGCAAATTAGGGTAAATTCTCGAAAATATTTATTTATTTGAGTTTTTGTATGCTATGTAGCCTCGGGACTATGCCCTTGCTATATAGCCTCGGGACGGCTCACACAAATAAATATCAGGTATTTAACTATGGGAAATATCAGGTGTTTAACTATGCATATGGTGCCTGAAACTGGAAAAAAGACCTCTTTCTGTGAAGGAAAGAAGGGTAAAGCTGATTAATGTGATTGATCCTGATCAAATAGGAACACTGGTGGCCCAGAGTCTCAATTCCCATCTTCCACTTACTTGATATCTAACCCAGTGCTCTGGTCCAGTTTCTCCCAAGTATTCAGCCTTCCTTGAAGTTTCTGGAGAGAGAAATAACGAAGTGATTATAAAAACTAAAAGAAAACATGGAACCAGGTCTGAATAGTCAGTTATGTTTCTTCATCTGTCCACCTTCACTTTAGCCGTTTGTTTTATATTCATAGGGCCTGGCAGGACCGGCTGGACATGTCAGGATACAGGCCCAGAAGTTCTCAGCCCCCCTTTACAACAGTTCACCTGTACCCCAAAGATCCATTTTGGATGGGTGAATGATGAAATTACTGCCATGTAATTCAGACTGGATTTGTTTTTATGTAACACCAGCATGGTCTCTCTGAACTGAATTTTTCTACCAAGAAATAGAAATCAATGGTATTTGTAAGCCGTTCTGAGATGATTTGCGTGAAGGACAGGATATAAATATTTTAAATAAATAGATAGATAAATTGGAAAATGCATTGAGTCAGATTCTCAATGAGAGTCAACAGCTGTCTTTTCATTAGGCGTCTTTTCCATGTGCTGTCATTTTTACACAATTCTTAAATTCCAGGACACCTTATAGAAAGGCTTAAAATAAAAGCTTTTTCAGAGTCGGTCCCGGGCATTTCTTGAACAACACATGTAAGCTTGTTGCAAATGCCAATTTTGGCCTAACAGCCGAGTCAGAAGAGCTGACAGAGGGGCAGCTGATGTTCACATCAGAAAATTAAGAACAATTCATTGCTGGAGGCAGCAGGCCTAGTCCAGCATGTGTGTTGAATACGCGGGAGCTCACCTCCTTCTGCAATTCCAAGGCCACCAATTCTGCTTGAACCTTCTCATGGCGCTCCAACTTGCTCTGCAGAGCCTCCACCTCTTCCCGGAGCAATCCGTTGTTCTCTCTCGTTTCCCTGGGAAAAGGAGGGACTGTGTATGAAGACAGGCCCCCTTCTAGCTCTCCCCTGAAAATCCAGCGTCACGCAGTACCGCCACTTTCGCACGCATTTCTTCCACCTATCAGCCCAACCCAAAGGGCCAGCAGGAGTTTATTTAAAACTTTTCTATACTGTCACATACTTCTAGGGACATATAGACAGAAATAGAAATAAGAATAACAGTTGCCCAGCATCCGATGTTAAAATATAAACCCACCAAATAAAACAAGTTAACAGGTAAAATACCGGGAGAATAAAAAGATGTTTGCCTGATGCCAAAAGGAAAGAGGCGTTGGCGCCAGGTGGATCTCTGTGGGGAGCGTGTAACGCAGTTGGGGCGCCACCGCAGAGAAGGCCCTCCTCCAGGTAGTCACCCTCTTGATCTCTTTCACGGAGGGCTCCCGGAGGAGGGCCTCCGCCTCAGATCTCAAAGGGTGGGGGGGCACGCAGGGGAGAGGGCGCTCCTTCGGGTATCCTGGACCCAAACACGTGATTCTGCCGCAGGAGAGGGGAAGCAGGGCTGCGGGAGGCCTTGCATCCGAAAACCCAGAAATGAAAAGGAGATTTGGAGCCTGGTGCTGAAGTTGCGACAGGTGGACAGAAACGGAAGGGCTTCCCACTGAGCCCAACCACGCCTTCCTTCTTACCTAAGATAAGCATTCTCCTCTCTGAGCTGTTGCAGCTCTTGCTCCATCTTGGGAAACTGTGCCAATTCTGTCTTCATGTTCTTCACAATTATAGCGTCTTGTTCTTGCAAGGAGAGCTTTCGCTCTAGTTCCTGTAAAGGGGCAATTCCAAGAGTCCCTGTTCATTCGGAGCAACAGTATCAATTCCAACTTGAACCAGTCCAGGAATGTTTGTCAATTTGGTACCAAAAAGTGCTTTGTTTCTATGCTGTGTTTATTTTTATTTTTCAACACTGGAGCCCTGGTAAAAGATGGATGCTTTCCGGAGAGGAGTCTTACACAGTTACACGTAACTAAGCAGGAGAAAAACCAAAAGTTTTCACCTGAATCCTTTGCTCCTTCTCAGCCATCAGATCTTCCTTCACTTGTAGAGTCTGAATTTGCTGGCTGGCCTCTTGCCATTTTCTAGTGCATGTGGATAAAAGATATACATATAATACACAGAGGCACACTGGAATCTTATTTATGTCCCCTAAGCTATTTATTAAGGATGATGTATTTCTGCAAGTTGAACAAAAACACTACACAGACCATGACACTAGACCTCAAGAACCTGAACCTGAACCTGAAGCCTTCCCTGCATCTCACGTCTAGGCAGGAGGTCTAAAAGTATCTCCCTTTCTGCTTTAGACACAGCAGTAATTTGGGACAATACTTTGGATCTTATTTTATGTTATCTGCTCTCCAACAAGTACTGGGCAAGGAAGACATAAATATTTAACTTTTAAAAGCATCTTGCCGTAACACAGGGACAGCGGCAGAAAAGGCACAATGGCAGGCATTAAAAATATTCCCATGAGCGATTTTCCATCAAAAGTCCCGAAAGCAGTTTGGATATGCTGATTCCCAGCCTTCTCCAATGTGGTTCTCCAGATGTTTTCCGCTGCAGCTTCCATCAGCCAGCACGGCCGACGGGCAGCTAAGGTGTGAGCACAACCGAAGACGCCAAGTTGAATGGCACAGTCTAATAACTGACGAAGCAAACCAGCTTCAACAGGGCTAATTACCCATCCTTTACAGAGTTTCTAACAAAGTATCTGAAGTCCCTTGAATTAGGGTCCCTCAGCCAGAACAGTGTTTACCAATCCCCTGCAAAAGATCTGAAGTTTGAATATTACACCCCCTTCAAATTATTTCCAACCCATTTTCAGTTTATCAAGTTTTCAGCACTAAACATCCTGATCAAAGCAGCCCTTTGAACAGGAGAAATCAAACGCTGTTGAAACTTTTTTTTTGGAGTGACACCGGCTGTCAAGGAGGAAGGGTTTTATTTACTGGCGGTTGTTAATCCCCTGCTCACTTGTGCGACTCCTCCAGCCGTTCAGTCAGTTCTTGCTTCTGAGATTCGTGGCTCTTCATCTGCATGTCCTGGTGCATTAAGTTCCACTGCAATTCAGAGATCTTCCCCTTCAGCACACTGATTGTCTGCGAACGAAGAAAGAAGACACAAATACAGCGTTGGCCTCCAAGGCGGGTGTCAAAAGACAACAATCCGCCTCTGATCAAACAGCCATCCATCAGCATGAAAACCCAATAATAGATAATCAGGCTGTTAAAAGTCACCTCAGAACAAAGGCAAAGGCAAGGCTTTGCTCCCTCATCTGTCAGCGTAATTGTCACCCCCAATTAAGGGAGTAATCCCAAGTTGACACAAATTGCAAGCTTTAAAGTTGGATGTGTGCCCACACAAGGACCCATCAGAGAGATGCAAATTGATCCACTGGCACCCTAGAAATAGATATATTCTGTGCAGAATTTCAAAACAGACTGCATTAGATTCCTCCAAGAGACAAGCTAGACACAGTTAAACTTTAAAGGAAGAGACCGAGTTGTCAGAACTGGGTTCCGTACGAAGGAGCTGGGCCTTGGCTTGCTTAAGAAGCAAGGGTCACTTTGGTTCACTTTCACATTCCTTGCTCTCTCCAGATTCCTTCTAGATGCTAGACTTTTCTCTATCCATGATAAATGTGTATACTGTTTTTTACATTAGTTTAATTAATATGCAGTCCTTGATGTCCCTCCCAGGCACTTTGGAAGCAAAGTTACAGGAAGTCAAGACAGATCGTGGTGGAGAAGTTCTACCTGTAGCAGCTATGAAGAAACTAGAAATCTGGGTAAGTTTGAGAAGTTGGTTACCTCTTTCTCTGCTGCCCCGTTTTCGCTCTCTCCTGTTTGCTTCCCACGTAGCAGACTGCCAGCCACCCCTATTTCGCTGCCGGGGGACCAAACGGACTGCATGCAGACTTCTGAAATCAGTCTAAGGGCCACATCCGGCCCTCGAGCAGCAGGCTGCCCACCCCAGCTACATCCAGAGTCTTCCCCCACCCAAATAACCAGCATATTTAATATCCATCGAATGCAAGGAACTGAGCCAGCCCGAAGAACATAAATCATCTTTACTCTGTGACTAAGTAACAACGACCCCGAACGCTCAGAAATTACACGAAGTACAGAATTTTGAAAACGAATTGCTTTGCTCTTACTTCATTCGCTTCCGCCAGCTTGCTCTCCTTATCCTGCAACTTTTGATTCAGAGAGTCTATATTCTTCTGACAGGATTTGTTGATTTCAATTTGTTCCTGAAGCTTATTTTCTGCCTCAGTTTGCCTTTCCTGATACTGTTTGATGTGCTTGAGGAGTTCCTGGTTACGGTCGGCCTCCCGCTAGAAAGAAGAAAAATGGAGACACTTCTTTTAAAAGTCACATGAAATAGACCCAGAAATCTCTTGCAAGCAACTCCAAGGAAGCAAATTCTTCTTGGGACTGTTAAGAGATGTCACTAGTAAAAACGGAATCTTTGGGATCTTGGTGGAAAGTTTCAAGGCCTTCAGTATTTTACAGAATTGTCCAAGTTCAGAGATACACCTCTGCAATTTGCTTTAGCCAACACAACCATTTCTATACAAGAAGGAAACATTTGGTCAAGATGCGGCCCCTTACAGTTGGATAATTTTTACTAAGCAAACATCTGTGTGCTCAGATGGGGGAATGATCACAAAAGGGCCAATTAAGTTGCTGAAATCTGCTAAATGCACTCGATATAAAATCAAACTGAAAAGTCTTGGACCCATCAATTCCACATTGTTGACTTGTCAGCATCAAGCAGAGACACTTTTCTTATTTTCTCAAGCGTTATCGTTCGTTCCATTTTACTGAGAAGGTTTATGGGACTTAAGATCTGCTGCCTATTCTATTTTGACAAAACAACTGCTATTGCTATTTTCTGTGCTTTGTGCTTTCCCCTTTTTATGTAAATCAACTAGGGAATTTCACTGAAGGGTGATATACAAATACTTATGTAAATTATCATTTATATTTATATAAAGGCTTATAAAAATGCTGTTCTTTTGAATTTTAAATGTATTTTAAATATTTTTCATCTGGATAGTAACAAGGTTTCAGATAGAGAGAGAACTTTACTACCTCATCTTTTAATCCAGTATATAATAAAATTAATAAATACTTCTAGCATTAGCTTCACCTGCCAGCTAAAAAAGATTTGCCCCCTTCAAAACCCTTCAAAAGAAGGCTGTATCATCACACTGCAAGACCACCACTGTGGCAAAACGGTACATGTGAAGGCCTCAAAAATACTTCACCAGTCCACCAAAGGGGCAGAATTGTACCTTGTTTGTTATTAAGTCCTGCATCAAAACCTGTCCTCTGTATTTTGGTCAATGAGGGCTATTCCAGCAGGCGGTGCAGAAGGGGGCTAGAGCGGTGGGGTGGAGCCATTGCACCCAAAAGTTGCCCCTCCGCAGCTCCCATCACCAATGGCCGCTCCCAAACACTGCAGGTACCAAAGTCATTCCACCAGGCCCGCGGAAAGTCTAGTGCTCTTTTCGTCCTGCTTCCTTGTTCCTTGCAATCCTGCAGGGAAGCTGCCCCAGGAGCAGGGCAACAGCACCTTACCTGCACAAGCCGATGCCTGTGTCGAGAGGCAAAACCAATGCCCGGGATGTGTCCGCCCAGCCATACCGGCTGGGATGCGCACAGGCCTGCAGGACCGTCCCCACATCGAAACATGCACCGGGCATCATCCAAACAAAGATAAGATGATGCGAACCTTGACCAGCATGTGGCACTCGACCAAGCCGGCCTGGTACTTGTGCGACTCTTTCATTAAGGTTCAGTAACTTGAAACAAAGCCAAAGAGCATCCACGGATCCTGCACATTAACTTCTTATGCCTTTCCTCCTGCTTCCATCATGGCAATTTTGGCTTACAGGTCCACAACATCCCTTCAGTCCTTCTATGTACCCAGTATGGAGGGCAAAAAGATTCCCCCGTCCAATACCCAAGCGCCACATTACAGCAGAACCCCAGAAGAGGAACCCATCTCCAACCACTTCAGAGGAACATGTGGACTAAAATGCCCATCATCCCTACCTGCGTGGTCAATGGCCTGGGGATGGAGGGAGCTGTAGTCCACGGTGTCTGAAGTGGAGGACACCTCATTGGAGAAGGGCACACCAGTTGGTAACAAAATATTTCACCAGGGAAGATGGAAACAGCTCTCTTTGCGAATCACCATCTTATTCTTTTCCTGGCGGGTTCTATTTCATTTTTGTGCTTCTGAGATGCAAGAAGCATTTCCTACCATTTCCATTTACTTCTGACTCAAATTGATTAGCACTTATTGGAAATCGTGTAGCAAATTGCTCTGCTAATCAAAGCAAAACAAGCTACGGATTTACATACTAAGCAAGGATTATGCAAAGCAGCACGAGGTTCCTAAAACCTTTATCCACATGACTCCCGAAATGCAGAATTTGAGCAGGGTAATTACCACACTGTTGGATTAATGCTGCTCCTTTTCTGTATAAGAATTTTTAAGTGTTTCTGTGACTGACTCAGCTAGATTTTGGCGTTGAACTGACACTGGAATAATCCAGAACATCACTTGACTTGAAGTGGAACCAGGAATCTCCTCAGCTCTTTACTTTTTCTTTGCCACAATAGAGATCCGTCTCCTACTTATTGCGTTGTTTGACGCTTTTATCAAGGCTCCTGAATTTTTAAGTGTCTTACAGGACAAGATGCAGACTAACCCTTTACTGGGGAAAGAAACCTAGAAGGCAATGGCGGCCACGTCACGCATGCTGGGCTGCCATTTCAATTCTGCAGACATTGGTTTTGTCAGCAGCAGCAACAATTTTGCTGGCAAGACTCCGTGTTTTTTCTGCAGCAGCCTAATACGGCTTGTTGCTATTATGTGCCATCAAGTCATCTCTGATTTATCTGACTGAAAGATCTCCACAATGCCCTGTTCTGGACAGTCTTGCTCAGCTCTTGGAGAGCCAAGCTCCTGACTTCCTTGAAGGAACCGATCCATCTCCTATTTGATCGTCCTATCTATCTATCTATTTGGAGTTTTTATATGCCGTCCCATTGCTTAACGCCTCGGGACGGCTTACATAAATACAATACAAAAAATACAGATTATACCAATTAAAAACCCGATGCATTCCGGCTGCAAATTAAAACCTATAGTTAATATTAAACATTATTAAAATATCGTTTCAATAAAAAGGTCTTAGCCTGGTGCCGAAAAACAAATAACGATGGTGCCAGGCAGACCTCTCTTTCTTCTTCTGCCTTTGGCTTTCCCCAGCATGATTGTTTTCTCCAACAAAGCACAGCTTCTCATGCTGTGCCCAAGATAAAACAGCTTCAGTTTCATCCTTTTTGCTTCCAGGAAAAGTTCTGGCTTGATTTGAGCACGGACCGCCTTGTTTGATCAAGATAGCTCCCCTGGAATTATCGCATTCTGGTGGCGCAGGGGTTTCAACCGCTGTGCTGCTGGGCTGGTTGATCAAAAGGTCGCCGGTTTGAATCTGCCCAACGGGGTGAGTTCCCATTGCTCCGTCCCAGCTCCTGCCAACCTTGCAGTTTGAAAGCATGCAAATGCAAGTAGATGAAAAGGTACCACTTCAGTGGGCAGGTAACAGCATTCCGTGCACCTCGGTGTTTAGTCATGCCGGCCCCATGACCACGGAGACCGTCTGCAGACAAACGCTGGCTCCCTCAGCTAGGAAACGGAGATGAGCGCCGCCACCGAGAGTCAGGCATGACTGGACTTCATGTCAAGAGGAAATCGTGACTTATGCCCAAAAATGTTAGGCAGCTAAGTCTAAGCTTGGCTCAACCTTGATCAGGAAGCTGAACCCAAATCTCTCCAGAACAAGTACCCAGAGGGTCCCAGTTCAAATCCAAGATGCTATTCCTTGCATTATATTGGACGCTAATAAAAGAAGCCATGCGTACTCTCTCTCCTGTATGCTAACAGCATGACCTGAAGATTCTGGAAGCTTAAATGCAGAGCAAAGCAATCAGGCCAAAACACAGCGGTAGGTTAAATGAAGTCCTGACAGATTCTGCCATTCAGAAGACAAGCTCACCTCAAAATTCCTGGCATTCGTATTCGCCGCCTTCTCCAGCTCAATTCGAGCCCTCTTGTGACTCAGTTCCATTTGCATTTTCTCCCGTTCTACTTGCAAGAGACGTGTCCCGGAATGGATCTCCCCGGCCTGCTCTTCCAGCTGCCATTGCCAAGAAAACAAACCAACAAAGAGTGAGCAGGACTTTCTCAAATCCTTCCAGCCGAGGTTCCCAGTGCATTCTAGGGATTCTAAAAGATTCAAACCTCCCCGAAGTTGCACCTCGAGAGGTTGCCCCTGATCTGAAGCTAAGCACCTCTGGACCAGGTGACTTCTTTGGATGGGCCCTTAGAATAAAATCAAGAAATACTTTAAAGAATGTTATACCTGAAAGCAGCAAAATACGTTTCAGGTAATCTCACAAATGATGCTAAGGCTAAAGGGTGACTTAAAATTCAGGCTCCTGCCTCCCAGTTTACCCAAAAAAGCTGTAGGACTTGCAAAGGATTTATAGTTGATGTAGGAAGGCATTCATTTCCATCAGATGTGTCTCATCTGCATTCAACTTGTGCAGGATTTGAGAGACACATAAGGTAACCAGCTAAATAAAGAGCATAAATCTATGGAACCACCATCTGATGTAATTACAAAAACTTTCAACTCCAAGATGTGACCTTCACTCAGCAGTCCATGCTGCGAACTGCTGGCATTTGAATTGGAGGCTTCATACTTGAACCAATGGAAAACCAGACATTTTTTCCTAATGTTTCTATCATAACTCTTCAATGGCTAAGAACATTTAACATGACATTAAAAGAGTTAGCTCTACACTGTTCAGAAATCACTGAAAGAAGAATTGGTTTAAAATGTCATTTAAAAGCTTTTTTAAAAACCGCAGAGCTTTCTATGCTCTGCTAGTCAACCCACTCCCCCTTCTAATTTCACCTGGCTATGAATTAAGTTTCCGTGTTTCTCAGAGGTCCTGGATGTTCATGCGACGTTAAAAGGATTTGCAGAAGTCAACTACAAACACTGCAATCCAATCAGATTGCTGCTCAAAAGATAAGGGTGCTTGGCATCAAAGCCCTGTTCTTTCTCCTGCTCCTCTGCAGTCCCCTGTCCCTGTTTCAAAGAGGGGACAGTCCTCCATCGAACCCAGACGGGCCTCTCTGCTTGCCTGGCTGACGTAAGGAGATGCTCTCAAAACCTGCCGATCTGGTTCTCTCCTCCTGCCAACAAGAGCAGAAATCCACCATAACCTCTGGTTCCCAACACCTTCACCCTGGGAACCACGGGGTTGTCTGCTTATGCTTAACACTAATCGGTCTCTGCCAACAAAGAGAATCACTTCATTTGCTATTTAATCACCAAGCAGCAGCTCAACAAAAGCAGCCTCACCTTCATCATTTGCTGATAGTGCTTTTGCAGGGTGCCTTGAGGACACTCTGGGCTGGTGGTTTCCTCCTCATACTGGGACATGAAGGTGTTGAAGGATTTCAGGATGGAGAAGACAGTTGTGTTCCCCTCGGTGTCCTCCATGCGCATCTCACTTCTGCAAACACACGCAATCAAGAGTGAAAGCTCAAGACCACGTTCGGTGTGTGGCGAAGGACACACGACAAAACACCATCACGCTGCCTGGCCCACTGCACAGGTGCCATCATGGAAGCAAGCGCCGACTGCAGAGCCAGTCCGAAGGGAGAGAGAGTTGCTCTTCTTGGACGAAGCCGCACTAAACCATTTCAGGGCACGCCTGCCCGAGGTCACCCTTAACTTGGTGACCAAGAGCAGTCAATTTCTCTTGGTTCTTGGGCTGAAACTGACTTTGACTGCTACTTCGCCCAGGAAGTTCAGGAATGGATCTGTGTTTGAAGCATGGCAAAACTCATGCACTCTGGAGCAAGCAATTTCCTTCATTTGGTACTCATCTGCTCTGTTTATTCAGACTTCTCCCGTTCCCTTCCTTTCCTTAAGTTCTTCCTCCTCTATTTCCTGAAGAAATTGAATCAGTCCGTCCCAGACGAACTCCACACCAAGAGACTTTTCTCTGGCCCAGCTCCACCCTCTCTGGCTGCTTTCTACTTAGCTGTTCTTCCCACCTTGCTCTGCATCTTTCATCCCTCCCAGCTCTCATCTGACCTGTCCCTTCGCCCTCAAGCACAGCATCTCTGCTTTCCTCCCCTTCTGTTTGTTCTTGCTCCTCCACCTGGTCAAGGTCTCTGTTCTCTCCTCTCATCCTTCCCTCCTCGCTTCAGCCGTTGCTCCAGATCCTTCCAGGGCAACGGGGACATTGCATATGGCACCCCGAATACCTCCATTCCTGCTCCCAGCAGGAATTGAACAAGTCTATAGTCAAGCCCAAACCCAGAATTTTGACTTGCTCCTTTCTGAGGAGCCACTGTTCTCACAGTGATGGTCCCATTATCTGGCAAACTCTTTCCAGTGGAAAAACACGGGACTCCATCATTACAAGTTTTTCAGCAGCCTCTAAAGTCTGATCTATTTACAAATGTTTTGTAATTTAAAAGAAAAAACACATGTTCCATTATGTGCTGTAGGCTATGATACAGCAATTGTTTTAATCATTATATTTGATCGTATTGGTATTCTCAGAATGAATGTTTTTACAATTTGTCCTATTTCTGGTTCTTCTTATTTTTATAGTGTTTTGCTATTGTAACTGATTTTATATTCTGATTTTATATGTTGGGGGCCATCTTGAGAAGTCCAACCCCTAAAAGGCGGTCCATCAATATTTTTATGTTACATAAATGCACATTCTTATTTTCAGACTACAACCCAAAACATAAGCCATCAAAATGAAAGTGCTTGCTTTCTGTGTTTTCTTTTCCCCGACAAAATGCATTTGCTTTGAACTTTAACATAGTTGCTTTTCAGAGCTAGGTTTATAGAAACTATCAATTTGTCTTGAAACATTAGCCCCGGGAAAGAAATCAATCAAAAACAATTTCCAGGGTGGTAGCAGTATTGTTGCAGCCGAAACAACCAAGAGTGTTACAATACTTTATAAACAAAGACCAAGTGCCTAGGTTGTTATCAAACAACCAACTAGGTTGTTATCAAACACTGTTACAGGCTGCTATAGAACAGATTCTTGGTCTCCACGCCATCAGTTGCGCAGCACAAGCTTTCGCCTGTAAACTCCTCCTCTGACAAATCTACTTAAAAATATATATATTTTCAAGCAGCGGAGGAAGGAAAGCTGTTTGAGGCACTGGAAAGCCACCGAAAGTTGGGAGAAACTATTCCTAGATGGACCCCGGCAGATTTATTTCCTATGAAGAAGCCGCTTTGCATGCAGATGGCCCAAAGGTCGATTCCTGGTTGAAAGGGTCTCACAGGTGGCGGGAAAGGCCCTGGAGGACCATGGAAGCCTTCTCAAGGGGAAGGCTTTCAAGGGAGGAAAGGTAACGGCAGACACCTGGATTCTCTCCAGCTCAGGGTGTCCATGGCCAGGATGCGGCCCACCAGGGACAAGAGCAAGAGAGGCACCGGGACCGGTGCAACTGACCTTCGGGAAGGTCTGGGTTTAACAGCAAGGCCAGATCATGCGTGGTGCGGGCCCGAGCCAGGAAGCAGAGCGAGGGTCACGATCCAGGAGCACAACCAACAGAGCTACCCTGAGTTCTCCTGGGAAGGATAACGGGGTGGGAGACACCACAGGGCAGGATGCACCAAACAACAGAACCAGGCACAGGGAGGGTCAGGCAAGAGTCGGGGGCCGCGCCAGCTTGCGGGGAGCCCTGCGTCCGAGGAGTCACAGCAAGGAGGGGAGTGGGCAAGGCGGACGCCCAGCGGCCGGCGGGAGGGCCTGCACGGCTGAGGCCCCTTCTGGAGGGAAGAGCTGGCCCTTCGGAGCGCTCCCCTGGACTCCCAGCTGGTGCTCGTGAGTGGACTGAGTGCTCCAGCTGGGCCTGGGACTCCTCCAGCAACTAAGGGGGCAGGGGCTCTGGGGGCCAGCCCAGATCCTGCCGCCATTCCAGCCACTGTCCCCAGGGAAAGACCCAGATGATTCTTACAGAACTGCGGGTGTTGCCTGCTCCGTGTTGTTATGCCCACGTTACTCCTAATCAGTTGCGGGAGATTTGAGTGTTGAAAAGTCACTCATGAGCGCTCGCAATGAAGAAAGCAAAACAAATGCTGAGCAGAAAGAACCGGGGGCCAAGCAGCTCGTGTTCCTCCTGCACAGCTTTTCCCTGTTTCGCACTGTTGCATGGCCCACAATCAGCCAGCCTTCCCCAGCCCAGAAGTGTGGGGCTGCAGCCTCACTCACACCTGGCCCACATGCTCATTGGCCGTGCTGGCTGTGGGTGATGGAAGGTGTAGTCCAGCCCACCTGGAAGAGCCAGGCTGGAAAAGGCTAAATGCCGGAGACCGTGCCCCCCACGTGCAGCACGGCGATGCGGGTCTCGGGCTCGGGGATCCGGGGGCGGCTTCCTGCTTGGCCCACGAAGCTCGGGGGGCGCCCTGGGGCCAGCCAGACGCTCCCTCTGAGCCACCCCACGGGGCCGTTGTTGCGGGGTGAACATGGAGAGGGGAAGCGCCGTGCAAGGGGGGAAAGCGCGGGACAGAAATGCAACCGCCTGGCTGCCCCAGCACCGCGCCCCGGTCCTGCTGGCCCCCGCGGAAGGGGCGAGCGCTCTCCAGATGTCGAGGACTACAATGCCCAGCACCTCCACCGGCCGTGCTGATGGGGGCTGAAGTCCAAGCACCGCGGCGGCCCTCCCGCGCTCCCCGTGGCGAAATGCAAGCGGAGGCGCTGCCTGCCCTGCTCGGAGCCGCTCGGGCGAAGTGCACAGCTGCAGGGAGCACTCCCGACGCGCTCAGGAGCACTCCCGCCGGAGAGTTCCCGGGGAGCTGGGGCGGGGGGGGGGGAGGGTCACGTGCCCCGCGCGAGCGCTCCAAACGCGCGCGCCCCCCGCCCGCTGGCTCGCTGGCTCGCTCACTCACCCGCCCCAGCCAGCCATGTCCAGGCAGCACGCGCGCTCGCCCCTCCGCGCCTTGGATCTCCCTCCTCCCCCCCGCCGCGCCGAGATGTCGCGAGATCTCCCCCGTCTCCGCCCCTCCCTCTCGCTCGCCCCGCCTCCTCCGCGGTGACGTGCACGGCGCCTCCCTTTCCCCCTGCGCCGTAGTGTCGCGAGAAGAGGCGCACTCCCGCTTTCAGCATCCTCTGCGGACCCGGGCGGCCCGGGCAGCTCCCGTGCGCGGCTAGGGAGGAGAGAGCGCAGGTGCGGCGGCCGGGGACTGTATCTCCCATCATTCCGGGCCAGCATGGCGTTGGCCACTGGGAAACCGTAATTAAAGAAGCGCAGAAGATTTTGGTACAGGAAGTGAGAGCAGAGATCGCAATGAAGGCTGACCAAGGCCCACAGGAGCTCATCTGTAAACTTGTTGCCAGATCTTTTGTCCCTCTTTTTCCTATAGCTTGAAGAATAACCAAATGTTTTAAGATTTTAAACTAAACCAGGGACATTTTAACAAACACATGTTATTCCTTCTCCACAGAAATTCTCAAATATCTTCTAAACTGAAGGCAAATTGAAAGTGGAGGAAAACAAGTGTTTCTTTCATGCTTCAGATGCACTAAAAGTTCTCCCTCCACACAGGCATGTTATTTTTCTTAAAATGTTTAGAACACTATATTGCAAAACTCCACCGCTTATCAGCATACTCTGTATTTAATTTTATTTATTCAGAGAATTTCTACATATCCCTATAACCAAAGATCTCCAAGCAGCTTAGAAGAATAAACTACCATTACTTCATTGCCAACAGAACACTACTGTAAAATGAATCATTCTGAAGTACAGAACATAAGGAAAGAAACCTTTCAGCAAAACATTAATTTAAATCCAGTGGCTAAAATTAAAAAGATAAGTGGTATACTTTGTACAAACAAGATTTCCAATTTTTAAAAAAGTTCTTTGAGGCTGCTCACAGAGGGAAAGAAACCTACTCACATTTCCCAGTTTTCTGGTTTTAATTAATTGACTGGCTGATAATCCATAGCTTGTCCAACGTGGCTGGACTGAACTAGTGAACTCTTAACACACAATCCTGTGCATGTTTTGTTTAGAAAGAAAATTCACAGCATTCCCAGTCAGCCATACCAGGAGCTGTATGATTTTTTTTCTGTCTAAACAGAAAAGTATGGGACTTGGGCCTTTAATTTTCAGATCAACACCAACAACTGATAAATAGTACCTAGTCTTCTCTGAATTCTGTCAGCTTCTTCCAAATCTAATTTAGTGTGCAGACTGTCACCCCCATTAAACTTGCTGTTTGCATCCCAAGTCCTTTGCAGGCAGCAGTTACTGAAAGCTTCTCTACAGTTTAACTGACCACATGGAGCATGGACAAAGTTACTTGTGTGTCTTCTGGGTGCTATGTCCCATTCTGAATAGCTTTGCCAAGAAATATGTCTCAGTGGATTCTTTCCTACTAGCTTGAGGCTTTATAGTTCTTACTTCCTTGAAGTCTTGCATCAGTCTCTTTTGGAGAAGATGTCTGTGCCCACCGTCCCAGAATTTGCAAAGCAAGTTCCCACCAGGCCGCAAAATGGAGGGGGCAAAATCCAAAAGGGTCAAGCAGAGATGGATCAGCTTCTCGTGGTCTAGTTCCCGGATCCCGGTTGCATTCTGTGCCATGTCACTCAAGAGAACATCCACTTTTCCTTTAGGGAGAATTTCCTGGATTTTCCTTTGGACGCTTGGATCTCTGATATCTGCATGAGGCAAAAAGACGGCTCCTTCCAAAGGGGCAATGTGAGCCAGGTCAACTCCAAGGACAAAGCCTTTGGGAGCACCTGGGTCTAGGAAAGAAAGAGTCAGTGTAAGAAGACTGGTAGAATATCTATTTTAATGTGTTTCTCATTCAACACGGCTATTAACCACAGATTTGCAAAGAATCTCAAGAGCAAAATATGTTCCAATAATCCTACAAAGTACCACAGGCTTCCCCATAACCACTTAGCCAGGTAAAAATTCTCTCCAGGCAAAGAAACACCTGTCTAATGGAAGGATATTGGCTCTCTTCTCTCCTGGGTGGCCCTAACACATGACTGTGTCTGTACAGGTGTTGGTGTACAGCAGTAAAAATATTAGCCATTTCTGCAGTCGCTTACAACAGTGAAATTCCAGCCCCTGCCCCAAACAATCAAGAAAAATCTCACATCCTTAGAATAAAGGGCTTTACTTAGCGGGACAAAACCCAGGAATCTAGGCAGAGCTCAGCTGCATCAGGCCAATGGCCCACCATCCCAGGAAACTGTGAAAACAGCACACTTGTTTGCCCTCCAGAAGCTGGAGATCAGTAACATAATGAACACAGGAAGCTTTCGTATACCAAGTGGAGAAAGGTGGAAGTGAAAACGGAAGTGGAGGAGAAAGGATCGCACTGGCCACTGCAGGGTTCCATAGGAAATGGGGAAGCAATCCTGTTTTCACTTCATAATTTCATTCATAACCTGCCTTTTCCCCTCCTACAGCTGCTTACACAGTCCTCCTCCGCCTTTCTGCTCTATCTTCCCCGCAACCCCGTGTGGCAAGCTGGGCCAGGAGTCCATGACTGGCCCAGAGGGCTTCAGGGCTGAGGGGTGTCCCCAACTGCGCCCATACAGGGAAGCCTCCTCCCCCTCCCTCGACTCGCCCGTGGTGGCTATTTCCTCGTGCCCCTTCTTGCACAGAGCCTGGCAACCTGCTGTCACACTTGCCATGCCCAGCTTGCTCATCTGTTCCAGCCCGTGGGAGTTATTTTTAGCACTCCCATGACAAGCTATTTTATTCGCAAGCCGTTCTGCAACGATCAATATTTCCAAAATCATCGCTCACTGTCTCCTCGTGTTGTCAAGCCATTCGGGAGTCAGCCAACAACTGCAGCATTTCCACCATCAGAGCACGTTTGCCTGACATTACAGAATTAAATCAAGCCCCTCCGAGAGGGCCCTCACTGTCGTTTTGGGGAGGGGGCATTATATTAGAACAAAGCCTCTGGCAAGGATGGGAACAGAATTTTAAGGAAGAAAAGAATTTCCCCCAGCAAATACCATTTCTTTTTACCGTTTATTCTGTGTTTCTAGGTACAGATAGACAGAAGAATTCCCAGCATATCCCAGCCAGGTCTTTTTCCTGCCTAAAAGTGCATTGGATTGTGGCCTTAGGCAGAGGCAGACAATCTTTTACTATCACTTTATATGGAATTCACAGCCATGAAAACACACAGGGTCCTGCTCCCATGAAGCCTGCAGTTTAAAATAGCTGGAGCCATTCCACTAACCCTGCTGAAGACCACCTCCAGAATGGCTCCTCCACCACCAGCGGGCATTCCGTTGTCAGGCTGTTTGACAGCAATGAACGAGGGAAGTGCCCCCTCCTGTCCACTGCGAAGACAACAAGCAGGGCATGTACACAACCCCCACTTCCAGTGTACAGAAAGTAGCATTCATATCCTCTAATGCACTTCTATCACTATATAAGTTGCTGACCCTGACCGCATCCTGTGCTAGCCTGAGTCTCAAGGGCCACTTTCCCGTGTGGTCATCCGTCCAGGACCACACGCTGGCAGTGGGCAGGGGCAAAGCCAGGGCCAAGAGTAAGCCGGGCCACTTTTTCTTCTCTCCTTTTGCGGCCGCCTCCTCCCTCTTCACCCCCAAACTTCGGCCCAGTGGAATGCCAGAAGCATGAGAGATCACTTTCGTCAGTCTGAACAGTTCCAGAGGGCTTTTGAAATCAGATTGTTCACCCCAAAGTCCCATTGAACCCAACAGAGCTTATTTCCAAGTAAACCTGCATAGGATTTTGCTCCAAAATACAGGCCCCAACCAACCATCCATCCATCCATGTAGTCCTGCTTTTTTCCCCCTTCACTGGTCCAGCTAGATGCCTGCAAAGTTTCCAAGTGCAGCAAGAAAGAGAGCAACTGCTCCTGTTGTTTGCCCAACTATTTATTTATTTCCTATATTTATATCCTTCCTTTTTTCCTTTGAAAGAACTTTATGGAAAATTTAAGAGCAATATCTTACAACCAGAAGCCCAAACTGCTGTTATGGATCTACAGCAGTTGTAGAGAAAGCTGTTGCAAGGATTGGTAGGTGTGAGTCACAAACGTCAAGGCAAATGAGCAATAGGACACAGCCCATCTGCCTGGCAGTCCTTTTAAGGGCACTTACCAGAGCCAGCAGCATTGACCCTCTGAACTACAACCTGAGTCCAAGCACCAGGGGCTGCACCACAGTCAAGCACACACAGCCCTGGGCGGAGGATGCTGTGTTTGTCATCTATTTCAAGCAGTTTGAATGCGCTCCGGCAACGATAGCTCTGCTGTTTGGCTCTTTTCACATATGGGTCATCGAAATGTCGTTCCAGCCAGCGATGCTCTGTCCCTGTTTTGCTTTCCAGAGGGAGGGCTGCAGTGTGGATCCTGTGACACTGAAGTAAAAGACGCGGTAGCTTCCAGTACCTTAGGAAAGAAAGGCAAATTGTTCTCCCGTTTGATAACCACAGCTTGCTTGCTATCTGTAGGCCAGGATCTAGAATCTAACAAAGGTCTTTATACATATTCAATATCCTTGCCATTCTCTTTACTAAATTTAAGGGATTAATAGTCATACCTAGGGTAGACCCATTGCAATCAGCGGGAAATTTAGTCAAATGTCGTCAAGAGTATCACGATTGGACTCAATGGGACTGTCATGACTCGCGTGTCCCATTTTTTTCAATGGGACACGCGTCTGTCTGCGTGCGGAGAGGGGGTGTTTCCACTATCCTTCCCCAAGCCGGAGCCCTCCTGGTGTGCTGGACTACGATTCCCAGCATTCCCCAGCCAGATTGAGTAAGGCTGCTATTCACACAGCCCTCTATACCTGGGAGCCATCATCATCACCGCCATCGCCATCGCGGTTCTTTTCTTACAACTTTCAGCTACTCACCGACCCATGACCAGGGTGCGCCTGCCAACCGGGGGACTCCTTTCAGGCCTGCACCGCGAGTCCGTCGCCTAAAGCTTCCCCCGGGAAACGCGGCTCGGCACGCTTCCCCTCCCACCGGTTCCGCCCTTCTGCGCCTGCGCGGGCTCCCTGGCCCCGCCCCAGTCCTGTAGGCGGCCGCTCTCGTTTCCCGCCGGCGCCTTTCCCGGCTCGCCAAATCTCCGCGGTAGGAATGCACGTGTGGACGGGCGTCTTTCTGCAAAGCGCAAGGGAGGGGGTGGCGAAAGCTGGAGGGGCGTGGAATCGAAAAAGTAGGAAGGCGGGTCATTAGGTGTGCAGCCCTTCGAAAAGGACAGTGTCAACGTTTTAACAATATTGGCTTGTACAAAGGGGGACCAGAGAGAATCTAGGGGTGCAGGCGCCTTCTAGCCCTCCCCTGGTTGCAAGCCTGCAGCTTGCTTTTGGGCTGCAGGTATTCCGTGGGTATGCATGAAAAGCACTCTGCACATGCTCAGGGGTGTGTAGAGTTTGCTGAGCAGCAGGATATAAAAGTCTTGCATGCTGTCCCTTTTTTAGATTGACTTCAAGGCTACAAGAAGAGCCGTGCTGCTCAGGCCACAGGTCCCTGCATTAGCCGAACATTCTGCTGGAACGCTGGCCAAGCAGCTGCCTGCAAGAAATCCACAGGTAGGACACGAGTGTAGCAGCATCCTCGCACCCATGCTCCCCAGCAACTGTGGGGCAGAGGCACACTGCCTCTGATCCTGGTGACTAGCAGCCATGAACAGCTTTCTCTTGCATGAACTTGCCCAGTCCCTTTCAAAGCCATCCAAAGCAACAGCCCTCAGTGCATTATTGTGTGATACTCAACTTTAGCGTTTAATTATGTCTTCCCTGTGATTCGGCCTGAATCTTTCACCAATCCGTTTCATCGGTTGACCTCACTGGGTTTGGGAGGAGACTAACGTCTCCAGTTGCGCTTTGCTCATGCCATGCATAATTTTGAACCCCTCTGCCGCATCTCTCTTCACTCACGCTTTTTCCAAAGCTAAACAGTCCCAGACATCGCAACCTGTCTTCACAGGGGTTGCTTCAGCAGCTAGGCTATTTTACTTGTCTTCTGATGCACTTTTCTCAGCTAAAAGTGACCTTTTATAGGTCTTACAATTGCAGGCATGGAAAAGCAACCCAAATAAATCCCCTCCAAGCATTTGCCTGTTATGGTGGGCATGCATTCTTACCCAGCCTAACTGCATTTATACCTCTCACCCTTTGCATGGTTTATTTTTGTAGTTTAGTCCTACTGAGTGCAATGCGGTTTAATGAACCTGAACACATGGCCAGAAATTTGTGGGTACAGTTACAGCTCACTAGCTCCGAAGTCTGTTCCAGTGATAGGAGGTTGGGGGTCTGCGTACCACAGCCTGACATCAGAATGTTGCTTGAAAATTAGCTGTTCTGGTTTGAATTGAGCTTCTGGGGGACCAGAGATGCAGAGGAATGTGCTGTACAAACATGTGAAATAATATGTCAGAAATAAGGCTGGGGATTGGAGAGAGAGGAAAAGTGGCATCTCATTCAAGCGGCTGTTCTTACATGCTTCGTTTGGACCAGTGCTTTTCCCCAAGCTTCCGGAGAGCGGCGGCTTCCCCAGTCATTCTTCAGCCCTGCACATCTTCTGCTGTCAGTCTCTGCCGCGATCTGCTGAGCTTGGTTTATACCAGGGAGACGCTGCTTGCTTTTTGTTTGCGCAGGGTGCAGCATGCAGACAACCAGGTTGTTCACTCTGGTGCTGGTGGTGCAGCCCCAGCGAGTTCTGCTGGGGATGAAGAAGCGTGGCTTCGGAGTCGGACTGTGGAATGGATTTGGGGGGAAGGTGCAGCCGGGCGAAACGGTGGAGCAGGCGGCGAGGAGGTGAGCCGGGAAGCGCCTGTGCAGCAGTTCCCTGTGCAGCCTTCGAGACAGGCTGCTTATCCTTTTTGTAGGTGCAACAGGTGTGTGGTGGGCGGGAGCGGAAGGAAGCCAGCAAACCCGTAACACAGAGGCAGGCTGATGTTCTAACCAGGAGGTAGGGGCTTAAAGGAGGGGGCTTGCAGGCGGTGCGACGGGCCTCTGCCAGCTCTTGTAAGAGCAGAGCTGCAAGAGGGCAAGCGGGCCATTGGGTCCAGCCCCCTGCTCAGTGCGGGACTCCCAAGTTAAAACATCCCTACACCAAGAAATGCAGAACTTCAGAGAAAAGCCCAGGCTGAGTTTATGCCTGTATTTAAAACATTTGTACTCCATCTCCAGCCAAAACAAGCTAGAGTGGGTTACCTAACACCAGCAGAAAGCGGTTCCTTCTGGCTTATAAACTGAAAATCTCAGCACAAACATAGTAGGACTTATAGGGAACCAAAGGGGGCTGAAAAAACAGCTGGGTTGTGGGATTACGTGGCCCTGGTCCTCGTGCCCCAGCAAAGAGCCAACTTTCCTCCTGCCCATGTGCGGTTCGGAAGGTACCACTGGCCGCGCATACCAAAGGGCCCCAACCTCCCAGGAGGCAGCTGCAGAAAGATGGCAAGCCAAGTCCAGCACCAAGGAATGAGCATGGCTGCTCCACGGGTGTTGTATTAATGCCGGCGTGTCCCAGTGGATTCCACCGCGACTTTGCTCATCGTTGGGACTGGGGCATTAGGAGGCCCTCCTGAGACTCTACCATCTTCAGACTAGAAGTGAGGAGTCCTCAGTCACTTTGAGAAAAACAGCACAAACCTCCTTGCATATAGAAAGCTACCACATCAGGGAGACTTGGCTTCCTGGCAAGCATCGCGAAGGCTGAGCAGCTATCTTTCTCCTTGAGGAATCTGGCATTGGCTTGGTATGTATCACAGGAGCTGTCCCTGCCTCTGCCTTGAGAAGGTTCCAACAAAGCTCTTGGAGATGCTGAGATTATAGCCATTGTCTGAGATAAAATCTGAATTCATCAAACCTCAGATAACCTTCTGAGGTTACCCTACGCCTAACCCTTATTTGGATTTATCAGAGTGATTTTAATCACCAGTCAGCTCCCATCTGATTTCAGAACTCGTTTGCTGTATTTCTGTTCCACAGGAAAACTGACCCCCACATGGGCCGTTCCAGCTGCCGTACTGGAACTGCTCTGGCATTTTACTGAGCTGCAGCACGAAGCCTTTAGCTCATTGCTGAGAAAACACCTTCTCTTTTAGAAGCTGGCTGTTCCAGGAAGATTGCCTAAATTTAGACGACACGTTAAATGAAGGGAGTAATTCTGAAAAATGGAAGCTCTCAGAAAAGTGCCAAGGAAAGGTTGGGGGCCCCCCCAGCGTCCCCATTATCCTTAACGGGAAGTGGCTGCCAGAAACTTTCAACTTCACACATTACTCAAATAAAAGACAGGTCTAATTAACAGCATCAGCGAAACATCCACAGGCATTCAAAGTATTAGCAATTTTCTCCCAGTTGGAAGAAAAAAATGGGTTTGTTTCACAGCTCCCATCTGCCATTCTCAGCTACAGAGGAAACACTTCAAACTGAAAGCCATGGAGGATGAGCAGTGCAGTAGCGGAAACCCACTGGTACGAAAAGGAAAGAGCGTGTGAGCCTACAGCGCACTGTGGGATTGCTCGTCATGCCGCACACTTAGCATAATTGATTTTATTATATTTGGGAAATCATACATAGAGGTACGTGAGGGGGTGTCACATGGAGATGGGGAGAGACCTGTTCTCCCCTGCAGAGAAGGGCAGGACGTGCTCCAACGGAGCCAAGCTCAGGGAGCCCAGCTTCCATTTAGATGCCAGGAAGCACTTCCTGGAATGGGCTTCCATGGCAGGTGGCTGAGGCCCCATCGGTGCGGGCATTCAAGGATAGGCTGGACATGCACATGGTGGGCATGTCGTGAGTGGAGCCATCGGGAGCCGGGGGTCAGACTAGATGGCCCGGGAGGCCTCTTCTGACTCGTTCTGTTTTTATACAGCCAGGGCAGGTAACACCAGGGCCATGTTATGCATTGAGATCTATGCGGAAATCTTGTTTTTGCTCTTTCTCCTGGAAGCATTAACTCCAAACATCCTGAAAGCCAAGTTAATTTGATTAACTTGTTAATTATATTCAGGGAGTTAGAGGAAGAGAGTGGACTGACGGTGGACACCCTGCAGAAGATGGGCTGCATCACCTTTGAGTTCGTGGGCAACACTGAGCTGATGGAGGTCCATATCTTTCGTGCCGACAGTTTTCATGGAAATCCCACAGAAAGCGATGGTAGGGAAGTGTTCGGGAGTGGCAGAGTGGTGAAAATGTTTGCTCTTCTCGTTTCTTCTACTCCCAAACTTTTCTTTAAATAATTAAAGTGCTTCCCTTTCGGCCACATTGAGACATTTCATGGTCCCAGGATGACACTGTCCAATTCTGCTGGAGTTACCTGAACAGCATAAGGCAAGCATAAGGCTGTGTCCTGTATTAAAACTGACCGCCTGTGAACAGCTCCCAAGAGTGGTCTGGTGATGCCAACAGCGTGTCGTGGAAGGAACCAAAATCGGCAACAGCACCACAGCAGTACCTGAAAATTTGTGTTCTCTGCACACCAGCGGTGTTGCTCCAATAAATCTTAGTGCCCCTAAGAGGAGAACACCGGTGCTCCTGGGAAGGATTGCACTCAGGTGCAGAAACTTCTTTAAACTTAAAAGTACTGTTTCCTAGTAACATTTTGACTTGTTTCTGTAATCTGTATAACTATTGCATTGGCTGCTTACCAGAACAAGGAGGTTGGGTTTTAAAATACTTGAAGATTATTTGAATAGGTCAAGTGACCAACTCTTGTTTATTTAATTTGTATGATACCCAACAGCTGAAGTGCTTTGGTCTTTGACTGGTCAACACTTAATTTCTGTCTGTTGAGGAGGTCCACTGTGCTACATCTCAGGCCCTCTTGCTGCATCATTGTAGCGCATTAGCCAAATAGCTAATTTCCGTGCGTACGAGCTGGCTACCAACATCTTCATGGAGCCAAAACCCAGAGAGATGCTGCATCGTCTCTCGCTCCTTCATTCTCTTTGACGGAGGACAACTTTCCAGGTGATACTCCATGAAAAGTGACTTAGGAGAGAGATTACTTCCCTGCTGCAAACACACGCACATTTAGCAGAGGTGATGGAACATCCCTTTAAAAACACAAAAACTCATGAAACTTGTTTACTAGAAGCAAAACTGTGGTGGCATAGAGGGGTAGGCTTTTAAGTGTAAGCACGACAATTATTTTTCCATCCTGAATTATTTCCCCTGTATGTTTCCTCCACCCTCCCACCTTTGCAGAAATGCGCCCTCAGTGGTTTGAGCTAGACAAGGTGCCCTTCAAGAGCATGTGGCCGGATGACATCTACTGGTTCCCTCTCCTGCTTCAGAAGAAGATGTTCCTTGGCTACTTTAAATTCCAGGGGCAGGACACTATCTTAGATTACTCCCTGAATGAAGTGGAGAAGCTGTGAGGAGGAGGCCTCCTGCTGGGTTGGAATGCATTGCCCATTTAGTGCAAAAGGAAAATACTTGATGGTACGCAAAAGCTGCTTCACACAAAAGAGAGTTCTTTCTTCAACACACCAACGGCCAACAGACGAATGAGGCACCTGCCGTCTTGCAGGTGAGCAAAGGACGGTGCATGTGTGTTCTCGAACGGGGACCCTTACTGTTTACTCCTTCCCAGCTAGGCTTTTTGGGGTGGCCACTGGTTCCATTTGAGCACGTGCTCCAGTGAGCTTTCTCAATGTACTGAGATACGGTTCTTGTCCTGTATGTTGGAGTTATAACTGGAGGACTGGCCCCGAACTTCTCAGATAGTCATTATCTGAGCCAGCTGCCTATTCCTGCCTCAGCTTTTCATCTTTCTTCCTGGCCACTGTTGAGTCAGAGGTGTTGCATCCTGTACTTTCTGGGAGGAAGTCTTATGGAAGGAAAGACCAGCAGGTGGTATCAGGTTGTCCTTCACTCTCCTTGATACGACTTCAAGGAGACTTAAAATATCTCTGCACAGAGGCAGCCTCCAGTTCAGTTCCAAGTCCCTCCAGCTAAGGCAAGGGAAAACCACAGTCCTTGGCTCACCAGGGTTCAAATGACCAAGCGATATCCATCCCCACCCATCCCTATCGCAAGCACAATGCTCAGAAAATGAATAATGCATTTACAGCTGAAATAAAGTTTACCTTTTTAATGCATTGTACAGGTCTCTTACAAATACATTGTTTTGTGACATTTCATATTTACTTCTCTTTTTTTTTTTTTTTTGAAAGTCATAATCTGTAAACATTAAATCTACCAGCTGCAGAAAGGCATCTTCTAATTCCGGCAGTTTGATAAAGTGCTTCATTTTTTTTTAAAAAAAAACCAAACACTATTTTTGCCAATGGGCAGGAGGTATAAAGTCTGCAAAATCCCAAAGGAAATACACCCCTCTTGAGCTGGAGGTTTAACAAATACATTTTCGTAAAGCCAAAGAGGAAGTTAAACATTTGAGAGTTTGCCAGTTGTCATGTGATTGATTTCCCTTTTAAGGTACTTCTAGCTTGCACAGCTCTTCTCGTGGATATTAACTGATCCACTATGGCTACGGTTTGCTCAGAAGACATATAAACTTGTCAGAAGCTGCTCTCCCGGTAGTAATTTTGCCTTTTGTGAGTAGGCTAAGTGGAAAGGAAACATGGAGAGACTTAGATCCCGATCCTAAACGTACTGAGGAGTGTTTTCCCATTTGTATACATGCCGCATGACTTTCTGCACATGGAGTAAACCCCACTGGTCCTGGCGGGTTTACCTCAGAGTAAACATGTCGACGATCAGAACCCTGCAGTCCAGTGCTGCACGCACTCGTGTGGGAGCAAGGCCGACAAGGAGTTGTGCAAAGGAGGACATGTCAGAAGCTGGCTGTGGGTGCTTTCCTTTCGGTTTGCAGACCATGCAGGACACGTCTGGCAGTTCCGTCCTTTGGAAGTGGAGCACTTGACTCTCACTTGGTGGCATGCAGAAGCCATCGAGCTCTTTCTTCTAGACTTCCGCAGTTCTGCACCGAGGAGCCACTTTTGCAAAAAGCTTGGCACACAGCAGCAGATTATGGTAGACGCTCTGACACGCGAGCTCTGGGAGAACCAGCCGCCAGGCTTTTGGCTCTGCTGCCCAGTGGGAATGATGAACGCAGAGGCAACACCCACGCTTTCCATGGACCTTGAGCAGCAGAAGGGCTCGCTAGTAGCTGGCAGTGTGCGTGCGCATTGGAACACAGTGAGCTTTGGTGGTCCGTATCCGTGGATGGAGAGCCCTTCCGGCAGTGGCAAGCCTCCACTAAGTAAACGTGCCAGGCCACCTCTGCTGGGGTGCCACCTGAACTGTGCCCCTGGCATGCCAAAAGTAAGTGCCCAGCCCTTTTGCAGCAAGCCAATTTGGCCAAGCAACCACATGTCGGTGGGGCAGAGAAGGGCCCAGCCTCTCCTGGGCTTGGAACAGCTAGCACATCTAACTGCTCTGCTAACTGAAATGCTAATTAAACAGAGTGATACTTTTAATCTGTATAATAAAAGTTTTCAAAAATATTCTGTATTAACATATCAAAAAGGCAGGTCAGTTTTTCTGCTACAAACAAGAAGAAACATGCACAGCATGAGCATCTGGGCTGGTTGCAGCCGGCTTTGTCTTCGCTCCCAACATCCCTTCAGGAACATACGAGGAGGAGAGAGCCCCCAAGGCCCGGCAGAGCGATCCATTTTGCCTTAAAGAGGCGAGTCCCCCAAGCCAGAGCTGGAATCTGGTGTGGTCCTTGCCCTGGTCTGAGTTTCTCCCCTGCAGCTGGGACAGAGCTGGAATGTCTGTATGCAGCTTCCATGAGAGAAGAAAAAAGCTGCCTCGAAAAGAATGAAAGCCAGGCAAGGAAGAGTTGGTGGGAAATTATCTTGGCAGTCCATTCAGAAGGGACACAGAGGTGAGCTTTAAAAACACACACTTCATACCATAGCATTAGCAGGAAGACTGGTACATGGGTAAAAGGAATACAAGTTATATTTGCCTTTGTTTTAAAATAGGATCCCAAGAAACATCACAAAAAGCACAACCTCGCACTTGTTTGGACAGAAAAAACGCTTTCAACTCCAAGCACTGGAGTTGTTGGCCTCCTTTCTCAATTTAAATGGGCACAGAATTGCACCCACAGTATATTAAGAAGGAACTAGGTTTGCTTTCCCTTTGGGGTGTGAGGGTTGGTAATAAAATACCCCTCAGGAAAGCACATGGGTGAAGACAGATGTCCCCAAGGATTCCTTCTTTGTAGTGTGAGCTCAGCTTTGTAAGCTGCAAGACAGAAACGCAGGCCAACACTTTGAACATTTCTTCCAATGGACTTCTCCATAATCACCTGTATTGTACAGGTGAACCACCTTGTGTTTTTTGTATTTTTTAAAGTAGCAAGCTCACATTAACCTGGCTATAAATGTATCCTTCACCTTTACAAAAGCAAAGAAAGAATAATATATTCTGGGGGGACTCACAGAGGTATCCTAGTGTAAACTGAAGCCCCGGTTCTGCTGCAAACTTGGACAATTTTCTCGGAGCTGGAATGAAGCGACCACTTTGAGTGTGGGTGTTTGATCTGTCTTCACCCAAACTTGGAAGTATAACAAGCTACATTAGATGAAGTGAAAGGAAGGCTGGGAAGAGAGACACATCCCTGTGCTTACATGCACACCTCCAAAGTCAAAGAAAGGGCTTTTGTTCCTTCCCACATCAGGGCTTCTCAAAAAGGATGCAGCTCCCTACTGTTGTATTTGTCAACATGAACAATCTTTGTGTTCTCACACACATACGTCTTGTGACAGTGGAGGCAAGAATTGAGCAAACACTTCACAAATGTTTGGTGCCTGTAATCTTTCAAAGTGATCCCTGTATCATGCTCTTGAGCAAAAAAGAAAGACAGGTTTTCTGGACCAGAGGATGACATAGCCAAACTGGCAAAATAGTATCAGTTGCACACCAGTAAAAATAAAAATACAGAAAAGATCTCTCAAAGTAATGCAGAAAATATGAAAAAAACCCATACATCTACAGCATATCCAGATAGGACTATAAAGTCCAAGATGAGTTAAACAGCAAACACTGAAATAGATAAAGTAAATCACTTACGAATATTATAAATATCATTTTCAAATCTTTTTCTATGCAACTTAGCTCTATTTGAAATGGACAAAGTTGGACCAGCTGTACACTGAGATTTTTCAGGAAAGAAAATTTTCATTTTATGCCTTTAAAAAGTTCTGCAGTTGTATAGTGGCACTTCAGTGCACTAAGTTCAGGCATCCACGTGGAAGAGTCAGCAGCTGGGGAGACTTTCTGATTGACCATTAAATGACCTCACCACCCAGCCATTGCCAGCTTTAGAGTCTTGCCTATCATCTGCCTGCAGAAAGTTCAATTCTCTGCAGATTTGCATTAGTCCTTAAAAAGTCTGTCTGTCCGCCATACTTTTTCTGCACCCTGTATTTTCTCTGGAACAACAATATTTCTAACCCTCAGGCAGGTGGGAGTTTACCAGTGTGCAACTGATATGTTTGGCTTTCCAAAAGGCTGCGGCCACCCACGGCCCCCTCAGGTGTGTTCCCTGGCACAAGTGTACTGACAGAAGCAGAAATGTGTGCAAAAGGCTTGTCGACACACAAGCGCTGTATGCAGAAACAGTCGGCTCAAGCAGCCACCTGTTCAGACCCCCGTGTGGCTGGTAGGCCAGGTAAGAAAAGGAGGGCACCGGAGGCTCCAAGCCTCGCCCATGACGCAGCCTGCTGACGTGTCAAAAGGTGGGTGGGCTGGAAACGGATCTGCGGGGGGTTGGGCTTCCACTCGCGGCATTTTGGACGATCAGCCACGCCAGCAGGGGCTTCTGGGTGTCCCAGGCGTCTGTCACAGGGGCCGCTCCCTCCTCATCGCAGGTAGCCTGAACTGGCCCAAGACCCCAAGGGCCACTCCAGCCAGGGAGGGTGGGCCTTCTCTAGCACACCTGGAGGGCGCCAGGTGTGGGAAGGCTGCCTTGGCACACTACCAGATGCAAGAATGGGGCTGTTTAATGCAAAACACAGGAAGAGGTGGCTGATTCCAGGCTGGCCTCTTCATCCCTCTAGTCCAGGACTGCCCGTTGTGGGTGGCAGTGGCTTGTGGGGGTTGCAGAGAGGGAGGCCCTGCCCATGGTCCATTGCCGGTGCCATTTAATGGGGATGCTGGGACTGAACCCAAGACCTGCCGATAAGGTGCTGACTCTCCCCATTAAGCTGTGGTCCCTCACTTTAAAAAAGACGCATTTTGTCAGTGCAGTGGACAGGGGAGAGAGCTGCCTGCCAAGCCAAGGAGAAATGGTATGTTTGGGAAAGGTTAATCGGAGAGGATAGGGCTATTGGCAAGAGACCTAATATTCATTCAGGTGGAGCACTGCAAAAAGCTCTTGGGATAAAGAAATTCGTTCCACACTCCATGGCACTTTGAAATGCAAACCAAAATAATTCGAAAGGTGAGAGATGTTCTCTCCTTCCTCTTTGCACCGTCGCATTCCCAAGCAGCCCATAAATCATGGTGCAGCCCAAAGCAGGAGAAAGAGGCGGGGGAAGAGGGGGAGAGAATGAGAACACCAATCAGGGTGCTGGGAGGATACTTCCAACCTCTCGTATATGCAAGGCGCTCGCTGGCCTTCCTGCCATCCCACAGAGTCCCGGAGCATTAACTGGAAAAGAGGCAGTCCCCCTGGGCTGGCGATGACACAAGGGGCAGTGTGCCGGATCCCGTGAAGAGGCAGCTCAGCTTGGGCTTCAACTCATTCCAGACTTTGCTCATCTGGACAACAGAGGGGAGAGAACGGTACCGTCAGTGAGGCTGCAGCCTACGCACGCCAGCTGGGGAACGCGAGCGTGCGGGCCCGTTTGTGTCTAAACGCGCAGGACTGCCTGCACGGCCTCTCTCGCTCTGGCGGGGACTGCAGCGAACCTGCCGTGAAAGAGGCACCTCAACATACCACCGGAATTAGCTGGGTGGTCGAAGCACTTTGCAGAAGACAACCTGTCCAGTTGCTCTTCCCATGCAAAACTATACCCATACTGAGCCATACCTTCCTGCATATAAGGAAACTAGACTTGAAAAATATTGAAAACACTACACCATCTAGAGGACAGTCCGGATATTTCTGCTCAGCTAACACAGAAAAAGCAGCTCTGATCCTAGAAATCCACTGAAGGCACGTCCTGCATTGCCATTCCTTCTCCTGTGCCAGAAGGGTTGGGGTTTTGTTTTTTGTTTTTTAATTAATTAATTAATGATTAAATGCTTTTCTAACAGGTCCACTACAAGCATCTCGGGAGGGCTTACAAAAAATGAGTAGAATAAAATAAATACCATAGCATCCAACAATTGATATACGAAAAACCCAGTTAAAATCAATTAAACATTAAAATAACGGGGACATAAAAGGGGTTTTGCCTGGCGCCAAAAGGAATATAATGTCGGCGCCAGGCAAACCTCCCAGGGGAGCATATTGCACACCTGGGGCGCCACCACAGAGAAGGCCCTTCTCCAGGTAGCCACCCTCCTAATCTCCTTCAAGGAGGGCTCCCGGAGCAGGGCCCCCGCCTCGGATCTCAAGGGCTGGGAGGGCACACAGGGGAGGAGGCGCTCCTTCGGGTTGCATTCTGTATGTAGCCAAAACAGAACCGCCCGTTCACAAAGGGAAACCCTCAGCAGACTCAGTGGAGCGGCAACGTTTGCAGAAGAAAAGGCCCAGAACAGCCTGAGGAGGACCGAGCATGCGCCATGCCTGCAAAATGCTGACTTGCGGAAAAATCCAAACGGGAAGACCAGGAGGGAAGGGGAAATGAAATATCCTGGGAAAGGGCACGGCTGCCAGGAACCCCAGGCGGGAGCCGCCCACACTAACATTCTGTCCCAGTCGTCCAGTAATGAATCCACACTGGCCAAGAGGGAGAGTCTGCCTTAAACATGTCCAAAAGCAAGACTGAACTTTCCAAGGTGGTCCTTTAGAAAACGCAACTGAAAGGTGGTGGTCAAAGGATTCACTGATACTTTACAGGTGGCTGCTAGCTGGCAGTTTGCTCACCTCCTTGTGGCCTTGGATCTGAGAGTTGACGAAAGCCCCCAGGATGTGAGAGGTGAGAGGAAGGTAAATGTGGATCAGCTGAGTCTCTTGGTGCAGACAGTACAGGGAGAAGTAATTGCGCAGCTCCATGGTCAGAATCGCATTCTCTTGCTGAGAAGGAAACCAGTGCATGGATTATCTTCAGCGGATATGCAAAGGGCAAGGTGGGACACGTGTTTCCCATGCTCCCGTGGGGCGCGACAGTCCACAAGAGCAACGACCCGTGCCCCGCAGGTCTGGGCGCAAGGAACAAGGGCACTTCTGGCACCAGGAAGCTGCCTCATTGGCTGTGCCTCTCTCAGAAATGCGGGGTTTTCCGGATAGGTCAGCAGTCCTCTCAAGCCTTCCGCCCAATCTTTTCTATCAGCCGGGAGACCAGTGAATTAGGGTGATGGGGAAGCGCAGGAGGAGGTGCTGAGGTTGCCCAGAAAACGGCTTCTCTTGACAAGGAGCCGCTCTAGGGCGTGTTTTATTTTCCTATTCTATTACACTTTAAACTTCCAGGCCCGGTTGTTCATAGTGACCCTTAAAGTCCTACCTGTTGTAGAGGGTTTGGGTCATGTCTTTGATGTTCTGGATCTTGTCTCTGCGGACCATCCTGTTCGGTTTTCTGCCCAATTAAAACCTGGCTCTGCGAGCAGGACTTTTCTGCTGGCTGCCAAAAGCCCACGGTCCCCAACCTCTCACTCCCTCTCTGGCCACTGGAAACCTCATCAACCCCTTTCTGTCTCCAGAGAGTTCACCAAGTGCCGCCCTGCTGTAAAGGCTAAGCCTACCCTCTTTCCCGCATGGGCAAAATCCACACCGACCCCCGCGGCTTTCGGGATGCGGAACGCTTTGCCCTGCGCCAAATCCCACCAGTTTCTTTGCCTGGGCTGGGCTTGCGGGCCGAGTCGGCGCGCACACGGTACCTCGACGATGCGGGATTCCAGCTGCTCCACGGACTCGGGCTCCCTGTTCTGCACGGAGGCACTCATCATCTGCCTCTTCATCAGGCTGTACTTCTGCAGGGCTCGCTGGTGCTTGTGCAGGACCCCCTTCTCGTGCCGTTCGCACAGGTCCTGCGTGGCAGGGAGGGCGGTTAGCTAGCCGAGCGACAGAAGAGGATGCTTTCCCCCTTCCTAAATGTCGGGGATCCTTGCAGCACTCTGCATCGGGTAAACAATCCCAGAAAGAGGCCGCTGCCCAGAACATGAAAACCCTTCAAGAACAGGAAGAACCAGCCAGAGGAAAAAGAACCAGTTCTGTATTAACTGGGCCAACATAGCACTGGCTGCCGAGATCCTGGAGCAGGCATTCTGAAAGCCAGCTAGGAGAGCCAGCATGGGGTGCTGCTTAAGAGCGCATGTCTGGGGCTCAGGCGGTCCGGGTTCAAGTCGCCACTCGGCCATGGAGCCAGCCGGGCGACTTTGGGCCAGGCACAGACGCTCAGCCCAGCCTACCTGAGAGGGCTGTTGTGGGGGTAAGATGGAGAGCAGGGAAAGCGGATGATGTAAGCCGCTTTGCGTTCGCAAGAAAAAAAGCGGGATATAAAGCGAATAAATAAATGAACCAGAGTTCGGAGGAAATATGGACTCTCGCGACACACTTGGAACTGAACGTGTTGTGCATCACAGTTTTGTGTTTGTTTTCAGCCAGGCGTGGGTCCAGGCCCCACGGCTGTCACAGACCGAGACATCTGTGGACAATCCCAGCAACAGCCAGAAGCCATTCTGAAGGGAGCCTGGGGCGTATTACGTACATCTGAGAACGTCTGCCCTTCCACGCACTGAGTTATGTCAACCAGTGTTGGATATTTGCAGAATTTATTCAGGTCTCATCACCCAGGCTGCCTCGATCAAGGTCTCTCTCCCCCACCCACAGTGCACGGTACGTTCTCTGCACAGCCCTGAGAAAAGCCCAAGGCTGGCCTCGCCTCAGGGCTGGCTCCCCGGCTAGTCTCCCCTGAACCGATGCCCGGCCTTCCGCCGAGCGCACGCGGCCATTTCTGAACGGCTTAGTCACATGCTGGCAGCGTGAAGGCAGACTCACTTTATAGGACTGGAGCAAGTCCAGGAAGAGGTTCAGCTTCTCCACCACATCACTCTCTTCCTGTTTACCCTACAAAGCAGAAGGACAAGGGAATGAAAGCAACCGTGTGAATCTGGGCAGAGGTTCAGCCAGGCCCAGAGCAAAGAAATAAAAAATAAAAAGCTATCCCCATGTCTCCAGTTCTATTTATTTGGTTCCTGTTTGGGGTAGCCTCAGTGGGATGAATCCTGCACCAATGTAGCAGTGAGAGCGCTGGACGGGCTCAAGTCCTCACTGGGCCGTGAAGCTCACCGAGGCAGGGCTTGTGGAGAGGGTGGAATGGGAAAGGGGGGGATGAGGTGTACGCTACTTTGGGCTCCTGGGGGGGACAGCAGGATAAAACTGAAATGTGATGGGCTCAGGGCTAAGGTTTCTGAGCCAAGCAGAGCCTGGGGAGGGGAGGGG